TGAGCGAGAGCGCTTACTGAACACCCGTTCTATCCCTACTCCACTTCCCTTTTCCTAGATAGGGCTGCACGGTGGCCCAGTGGATAGCAAGAATGTCTCACAGCAAGAATGTCACTGGTTTAAACCTTTACTGGCCAGTCGATGATTTTGTGCAGAGTTTATATGTTCTCTCGGTGCTCGGTGGGTTTTCCCCAGGCTTCCTGGTTTCCTCCCACCGTCCAAAAACATGCACAATAGGTGAATTGACTAAACCAAATTGGCACCACAGAGGAGCCCTCAGTCAGCAGTATATCTCTCATAGCAATTCCTAACTTGTCAATAGCTATACAGCAGGGGAGTTCTCGAGATCTACCTGAGCTCAAACTCCCCTCTCACCCTGCTAAGGGGAGGGAGCCTCTGGCTTGAGGATCTTATAAGCTCAGGGCTCTCTCCCGGACAGCATGATGAACACGGTTTATAATCAATCATCAGCTGAGGGTCAACTCTTGAAATTACACCAGTATAAAAATCTGGCCACATCCGTTCATCTGGCCAAAGGAGAACTGACCCGACTGAACCCGGCCTCACTCACAGATGTTTTCATGACTTTGTTGGCATCCCATTCTCACGGGCTGAACGAAATGAGTCTTTCAGTAATATTATTGATTTTACTGCACTGTGAGATGAGAGCAAAAGTTAAGCTGCATGATGAAAGTGTTGTCTTCTGTAGAGCTGCTGTTATCACCAAATTAATTAATCTCTGGATTTGGCTTTGTCAATGCTGTTATTTTCCATCTTATTGCTGTGAAGGTGCTTTGAACAAATTCTGTTTTTGTATGAATCCCTACGCAAATAAACGCGACATTTACAGATGACATCTCGAGCGTGGTGGTGTGTTTGCTGCAGATGTTCAGCTTGATGTCCAGATGTGCACAGATGTGGATGTGTTGAGCTGGACAGAACAGCAGAGTCACACCTGTGGACAATCAGGCTAATAAACATCAACAGTAAAAAAGCAACAGAATGACACAAACTAGAAGTCCACACTCGACCCAGAGAAGGCTTGAGCTCAGCACTGAGACCAGGTTTATGCTTTCAGCTTCTATTGATTAATAAAAATTCAATAATCATGATTATCAGTGTAAGCATTACTGAGCAGTGGGGCTTGGCAGTATCAGAAAGTGTGTATTTTTTGCCAGAGGACACGAAAGAGAACACCTGCTTCAATGTCATTCAAGCTGGACGATGGTTTCAGACCAGCACTGCGGGCAACAGGACTGGCAGATCATTCGATATCACTGCTAGCATGAAGACACTGCTATTAAACCAATTGATGGATTGTGGTGTAGGTTGCTTTAATGGTTATGGGGGATTTGCCATAACACCCAGTTATTGCACTCTGCCGTATATTGCCGTATACTGACAGTCACAGTGCCTGTGTTGACCCCGGTCCACCAGTGAGGGATTGTCTTCCCTTAAACTTTCTTTGGAATATTATCTAAAGGTGAAATGACCTGTTCATCCACAAAATCTGATCCCACATCATGATGCCATCTGTTTTCCACACTATTTCTTTTTGAATTTGCCATCATCTCTGGCTGTTGCTCGTTACCGGCCCCTTTGATTGTCATGTCTGCATGTCATAGAAACGGCAGATCCATCTCCATCCTGACTGGTTCCCAATCACCCAACAGCTGATCACTAGCGCCGGTCACCTCCTCATTATTGCCGCTGTTCCCATCAAGGTAGTTAGAGCACAGCTCTAGAGGACAGCCATAGCTACATGAGCCCAGGAGAACTTAGAAACTCACCGTCACTGAAAACAGTCAGCTGCTGCATCAAGAAATGCCCCGCGACTCTTTGTTCCACATAGTGAAAGCTGAACTTCAGTTCTGTGCAGTGAAGACACTCATTTCCTTTGAGACCAAAAAATCATCTCACGTTGTCAAAAGGGCAGTGGACATGTGTGTCGGGGTGTGATGGATCCACATTTCAGCTGGTTTCTGCAAAGTACAGACACTAAGTTCTGAGCCTCAAAGACCAACGCAAACATCTGTCATAGTTGGGGAAGAGCAGTGACTGGCAGCTGTGTGCCACTGACTGAAGCAGAGATTGCTGGAGTACAGAAACCTTTACGGTCATCAAGATGACATCGTTCATAGAAAGAGGTTGTTCATGACACGACGGTGCAGAACTGTTATTCTCATGTCTGGCATCTTTAATCTGGAACAGCCTTCCATGCACATTTCAGGACATATCAGATATCTATAATCAGGGCAAACAGAGCTGGGGACATTTACCAAAAACACACTGTGAGTAGAATAGCATCTGTGTTCATGTCAGTCTGCATGTCTCTTTATCCTGTAGTTCACATAGTCCTGGATCCGACCTGTATCCAGAGCAGAAGGTTGAGTTAAACTGAACTGAACCAGTTTTAATCTAGACGGAACTACACCAGCATTATAGCACTTTGGGGATTTTATCATTCTCCCTTCCACATAATCTACATTGTGTAAAGCGCTATAGAATCAGAGAGCATTAGTCTCGGCTCAACACACTGCAACAGCAGACAGAGCACAGGTGAAGTGTGACGGTGTAAGGGCTGTGCATGTGTTCACACTCGCTCACTGCTAAACCTGTTGTTGTATATGCTTTCATGCTCTTGGATGTGCACAGGGTTTCCACGGAGACCTGTCACTGCAGAGAAGCTCCATGGCGACCAGAGCACGAGCACGGCTCACTGAAAGAGACAAAGCCAGAATCCTGCTGTTAGTTTGAATGATTAATGCGCTCACGGTCAGAGAGAGCAGAGCAACTGAAAATCCACCACACGCTTCCAGTGATGCCAAAGTCACATTCTCTGCTAAACAGTGCTCGTTTGCAAGGTAAGGTCACTGGAGTCTCTTCTTAATGATTCGTCTGTTGTTGGCCATATGCGAATCTTCAGCCTAGAGAGTGCGCAGCAAGCAGGAGATAGTGTGCTTTGTGGGGACGTACCTGCCACATGTCTATTTCATTCCTGTGCAGTTCCCTGTTTGGGGTGTTTGGTGTTATGGTAGACAGACATTCCTACAGCCGTGAAGCGCCATATTCCCCAGATGAACTTCTTTACCGGCGCGTTCAGCTCCACTCTCAGATTCTCCATGTCTGTGTAGTTTCAGCTTAATGTGAACTGAGCTCTTCAGAAACTGGAGCCTTGAGGAACAGATAAAGTGAGCCCAGCGCGTATCATTTTGTCATTAATACACGGTGACGTGTCTCCATCGCTGAGGCTTAATTATCAACTCAAACGCAGCGGCAGTAATTACAGCTGTATTATGAAGCGCTGTCATGTGTCGAGAGCCCACTCACCGCCGCTGACTGACGCCAAGTGTGTGGGTTTGAATTATTTTCTCATCTTCATCATCGTCACGGACAGCCTATAAACAGTTTCTTGCTCAGGTCAGGAGCGACTGAGATCAGCAGGAGACGTGATTAACTCTCGCTATTCACTGGAAGTCAGTTTGTTTTAAAAATGGACGTATTGACAAAACCGCGAGGTTTACTGGTTTTCTTATCGTCTTAAGCTGTAAAACCCTGGCCAGAAACAGCCCAAACTGGATTTGCAGTGTGAGTCTGTTCAGTGTTCCTGACTCTCCAGCAGAAGCAGAGGATCAGCGATGGCGTTTGTTTTGCAGAGGTGTTTTACTCTCCGCTCTCTGCCTTTCATCATGATGTAATGTTGGGCTGTATTTACTTATAAATGATTGTTTATCAGAGCTGTGCGAGTCGCTCGGTGTGCCGCCATGTTCGTTAGACAACACACACGCAGACACGCATACATTCACATCGTTGGTTTGTGTGGGTAAAATAAGCAGAAAACACAAATGTAGATGAACTGTACGGCTGCCGTTTGGTCATGAGTCTTAAGAAACTTGAAGGTCAGCATCAGTCCTTCAGCTGAGAGATTTTTCTCATGTTGCGTTTTACACAAATAAGAAATTCTCTTTTGCCATCTCTCCCTCTCTCTTCCTCCCTCCCTCCCTCCCTCCGTTCCTTTCTTTCTTTCTCACACACACCCACACAGAAACAGTCAAATGCACAGGCAGAGCGAGAGCGAAGGATGAGGCATGACACATAAAAGAGAAGAGCGTTTATTTTTCGCTTTGCTTTAGCGCTGCGCCTTTCTTGCTTTCTCCTGTTTTTCTCAGAGCTCGGCTTTTTTTTCCAGTGCTGGTATGAAGATGCAGGTCTGTATATCTTATCTTTACACTGATAGCATAGACATGCGTATAAAATCATCTATTTAAACAGAGTTTTGAAGCGTAGTTAATGAAGAAGTGTGTTCTTTCCCTGGACCTGGTCTAGCAGAAGCTGTTGCGTCCCCGTGGTTGTCTTCTCTGTGGTCGTTGTGTTTTCTTTCTCTCCCTGTTGGCTGTAGAGACCAAAGAAGGTTCTTGTGTGTTTGAGACGTCATGATGGTGTCTGACTAGATTATTTATGTGTGATGTGAGATTCACAAATCAAACTCTGATTACCAGCACAGAAACTGACGGTGATGTTCGTAACCCCGTCTGTGCTGACGGGATGTGATGCTCGAGGAAAGGTTGAAAATGTTTAAGTGTTTGAAACCTCTCAGCGCAGTTCATCAACATTCGCATGACTTCTGCAGCTCCAGAAATCTCATACTGTATGTTGGTATTATGTGAAACAGAAAATAATGTTCTCTATATGTGTCATTTGACAATAGAGCAGATAAAGCCATATACAGCTGATATTGCTTTTAAAATGCTGTCCAAATAAAAGGTTTCTTAAATTCTTGAATTCCCTCTGCGTTTCCCTTAAATGTAGTTGAAGTAAGGTCACTAAAGTCTTCACATGCATTATACTGGTCTGACAGCACTAAATACTCCAGCATTTTTGGACTGTGCGCAGTGTGAGGTGTGTTTGTGTTTGCAAAATGAGAATGAAATGTGTGCAGGCGTCTGTGATTTCCACACTTCAGTGTTCTCAGTCGGTCTGTCTGTCTGTGTTGTCCACAGGCGTAAGGACATGAAGTGCTGATATGGCTCTGGATATGGAGAGGACGGTGTCTAAAATCATGTTTGACTTCCAGAGGAACTCGACCTCTGATGACGACTCCGGCTGCGCGCTGGAAGAATACGCCTGGGTGCCGCCCGGCCTCAAACCTGAACAGGTAACACACACTGCTAAACCTGCCACAACATCTGGGGCCTGTTTCAGAAAGGAGGTTAACTGAAAACTCAGAGTATTTTAACCCTGAAATGCGAGAAACTCTGGTTTTTCCGTTTCAAAATGGCAGGTTTGTTAAACTGGAGAAAGCAGGGTAAGTCAAGCCTGTTTCTGAAAGAGAGGTAACTTTAACTCAGAGTCAGTTACTGTGGTAACTTACTCTGTGAATCTAACCTGGTCAGAAGCAGGTTTTATTCTCTAAACTCAGAGTTTCTGTCGGTCTCCTCCCCTTTTTTAAAGATGAAGCGGTATTTCTCGCCTTAGCCTTACGTTTCCACCCACGTATTTTTATGCTTATTTTGGATACGTGCATAAAAACGATTGATAGAAACGTCATGATGCACATAACTTTTTAAAATATGCATAAAAAACGCGCATAAATGAGTAGGTTAACTTTTATTCGATAGAAAATGTGCGCATAAACTACGATGGAAACACTTTTACTGAACAAATTACAGTATGTACATTAAAAAAAGATCATGATCATATGATAATGAAAATGTGTGTAAATGGACAAACCAGCAGGCTGAGCACACTGTAACATGTCTTAAATGTTGTTTTAGTCATTCTAAAATGCCTTAACTGTTTCAGTATTAGTGTATATTATTAATTACCTCCGAACGTCTGGAGCGTGTCAAGAGTCTCTGCGTCTCATGGCTTTAGACGCCCCCACGTGTTCATTGTGTTTCAGCATTGTCTTCTGACATCGAGGCGCAAGTACATTAATTAGGCTAAATAAAGAATTAATTGACGCAGCTTCTTCTACCACAGTAAATTCTGTTTTTACTGTTGATATTTGGTGCCAGTTTAATCAGGAAGTGACGATTTTTTTCTCTTTGAGTCGTTGGATGGAATTTTTTAGCACTGTAACTAGATTAATGGGATTATTATTCTTTCTAAAAATTATTTTTAGTACTGCTTACCTTCTAAATGTTATATTAACCTCTATCACTTGATCAATAAAAAGGCAGACACACAAGTGCACTGTTAAATCATTTAAAACTAATAAATGTATAAAAGAAAAGTTTAGAAAAAAATATATAAACGTCACAAATTACATTACTTATTTTATTATACTTAAATATTTAAATACTTAAAAAGTGAAATTAGGCATTAACTTGAGCAGCTGTTTTCCCACGCTAACTGTCTCTTCTTCACTGATGGTTGCTTCTTTTCAAATATATACGCTCATATTTGCTTTAACTTTGCATGAGAACATCAAGTTCAGCTGGAGAAAGAAATGCTGATCTCTTTTATAAGATATTGCCATAGTCACTCGTAATGTCTGCGCTCCATTGATAATGCCTTTTTATAGTCACGGTGTGCGCGCTTAACTCTGAGTTGGTCTACTTGAAGTTGATTGACCCAACTCAGATCAGCTGTTCTGAAACCGAAAACTCAGAGTTTTTAATCTCTCGCTAAATCAACTCAGAGTTCAAGTTTAAACTCCGAGTTGTTTGAACCTCCTTACTGAAACAGGCCCCTGGTCACATACACAAAATCAACTTACACTCTGAGCAAACACGGTAAATCCCCATCTCTACTGTAACTTTAGCTTAAAATAAATGTCAAAATATCAGTTTATTTTTTATCTATCCTCATTCATGACTTTGTCCAAATAAAACACTAGACCATGAGCTGTATTTATTCAAATATATCAGAGAATAAAGTGACCAAACCCTAAATTCTTGAATCAATGAATCTAAATGAACATATTTTTTCCAAACAGCTGTTCAGGCCATCAGGTGAAATTATATTCATGTCACAGCATATATTTGATCCAAAAGAGCAAAAAAAAAAAAAAAAAAGATCCAAATGCAAATGTCTGTGGTGGTTTTGGGAACAGCAGAGCAGATGTGTGCCACTGACGATCCGCGTTCATATCAGTGACCTACATTTGAGTGAAGTGATTGTTTATAAACTAATGTCGAGAGGACAGTGGGTTGCACTGTCACCTCGCAGCAAGAACGTCACTGCTTCTAGTCCTTACCAAGACATTTCTGTGTGGAGTTTACACGTTCTCCCTATGCTCACGTAGGTTTCCCCCGGGTTCCCCGGTTTCCTCCCATAGTCCAAAAACATGCAGCTTAAGTTAATGGACTAATCCACATCAGCACATAGACCTGCTCCAGGTCCGTTATCTCTTAATCACTGTCTGTTCATGAGTGACTACAGCAGGGGAGTTCTCCACATCTACCACAGCTCAAACTCCCCTCTCACCCTGCTAACGGGAGGGAGCATGATGAACACGCTCTATAATCACTCATCAGCTGAGGGCGAACTCTTGAAATACGGTATTCAATGAGAAAAAATCCAGATAGCAAAAATGTCGGGAGATCATTGATTGTGCTGTAAGAAAACATTTAACATTTAACTTCCATGGTTGTGTAGTTTAAAAAAAAACAAAAACAAAAAACAAAAAAAACATAGACGATCTCTGAGCATGTCTGATTTACTGCTGAACATTTCATGGTTGAACAGATGGAAAGGAAATGGCTCATGTCACAGAGTGAACCTGTAAGTCTCTCTCTCTCTCTCACACACACACACACACACACACACACACACACACACACACACACACACACACACACACACACACACACACACCCACACACACACACACCCACACACACACACACACACTTTAATAAATGTAAATGATGGCATCAGTCCCTACAGAGTAAATGTTTGAGTTTTAATGTAATAAAACACACTTGCACTTTTGTCAGCAACAGAAGCATCAGCGGCCTCTGCTCACTGCTCACATGTCTCCAGGAACACATTCTGCCCTTTAAAATAGTGAGCGAGAGGAGTCCATCCACACCTGGAGCCGGTGGTCTGACCGGGTAAAGGATCCAGCAACAACATTCATTCTAGCAGGAGTGCTGGTGGAGCTCTGTCCTCTCCCCCCAGGAGGAGGTGGATGTGGGGACTGTAAATCCCTGAGAGAGGGACTGTGTTCTATCCGTTTCGTCACTTTACACTGAGCCTGTTCTGTCACCCAGTTACAAACTGCTGAAGTCCTCCCACTCCACCTCCTCCACCTCCTCCAGCTCCTCCACCTCCTCCACTGTGTGAGTCAGCCCAGAAACACCCTATAATGTCAGTCTGATCCAATCAGTGCAGAGGGCTGTTCCTGAGCGCTCTGCTTAACTTCTATTGGCCAGGAAGGCAAAATGTTGAACTACATTGATCTACATTGGCCAGATCTTCAGCCCCATCACTGCTGGACACACTCAGTGCTTCAGTTCTGCTGCAGCCGATCCTCCGAGTGAAGAGTGACCATCCTCAGGCTAAATCCTGATCTCCTTTCTTATCTGTTGCTCTTCCTCTCTCCTCTTGCTCCTCCTCCTCTGTTACTCCTCCTCTCCTGTTGCTCCTCTTGTCTGTTTTAAATGTCATGCTAATGCTCCTTCTCTAGAACTAAATCAGTGATAGAAAGTGTGTAGTTTGTAGTTGTGTTTGTTATTGATGTCATGTGTCTGTGTGTGTCTGTGTGAATGCAGGTTCATCAGTACTACAGGTTTTTCCCAGAGGATAAAGTTCCTTATGTGAACAGCATCGGGGAAAAGCATCGGATCAAGCAACTCCTTCAACAGCTGCCGCCGCATGACAACGAGGTCTGTTAGTCCATCAGAACTCATCTTTACCTGCTTTACTCATTTGACAAAACACTGAGCGGGTGTGTGTGGAGGGGGGGGGCAGTAACTGTATTTCTAAACCAGATGACCTAAAATATTCGGCTCCTTCCCGGAATAAGAAAACTGATGGGATTTGATAGTTGCCATGTCAACACTAAAGAAAAAAATGGTCAAAATGAAAAAGAAATTCAGCAGATTTTCTCGAGGCTTCTCTGACTAGCAGAACACACTAAACGTTGGAGCTTTGCATTACAGTGAGTCAAATGTGTATTATTAGAGCGATGATGTTCTGTGATAGCAGTATTGATTAATGTGCTATTGTTATCTGTTTGTCATTTCTTACTGTACTGTCCTTTTGCAATCAGGGCGCTTTTATTGTGTTTAATAATTGTATTCGATTGTATTGAACATTAGAGTTCCATTATTTTGGAGGTAAGTTGCCGTGCCGAATACGGTACAGTGATAAGCTGAGGAAAATATAGCCTTGATGCATTTCTTGAACCAGAAGCAGCGAGAGCAGTGGATTATCCAACAGAAATATAACAGGAGATCAGTCTGTCATCATGACACAGCCAGTGTAGACCGGATGCCAGATTAGAGTGGGTTTCGTTCTCTTCAGATGCTTAAACAGCTTGTGTCTAGTGTGAACATGTTACATTTAGATGCAGTTCCTGAGGTCTAGATCGGGTCTATCACCAACACTTGAGGAGTGCTTTAATATTGAATGTGCAGGCACAGGAGTGTGTTTATCATGAGCTTATAACACCACTGAATGAGTGTCCATTGGGGAATAAATGTTCCTCGTTGAAGCTTTACTTACCGGCGATTCTTTACCGATGTCAGGTTCGGTACTGTACCTCTCTGGATGAAGAAGAGAAGCGTGAATTAAAGATCTTCAGCAACCAAAGGAAGAGAGATAACCTAGGCAGAGGCACCGTCCGACCTTTGCCCCTCACCATAACTGGAGCCATCTGTCAACAGGTACATGACCCATCCTAACCCGAATAGTTCAACTCCATCTTTATTTCTATAATACTTTTACAATGTCAAAGCTAACCCCCCCCCACAGCACCTGCACCCATGCCTAGGCCCAGACCGGCACACAGTATCCGTCAATGTTCTGTAAAACTGCATTAATGTGTCAGAGGAAGCCTTGGCTTCTCATCACTGAGGTCAATGTAATGTTTATATGACCCGTCAGATGTGTGTCTGGACTGGAGATGGTCTTGTAAACCGTAGCTGTGCTATAAAAGTTGTAGACTACATGTGATGTCCCTCTCCCACAGTGTGGGGAGCAGATTAAGGGTGGCGATATCGCAGTGTTTGCGTCACGGGTGGCTCACGGCCTGTGTTGGCATCCTCACTGCTTCGTGTGCGGCGTCTGCTCAGAGCTCCTGGTGGATCTGATCTACTTCCAGCTGGAGGGCAAGATCTACTGCGGCCGGCACCATGCTGAGCGCCTGAAGCCCCGCTGCTCCGCCTGTGACGAGGTAAAACAACACCCCTCCTCACCTCTAGGTGTGCTGTGAAAGCCAGAAGGCCTGTAGTAGAACCTGAAGTGTAAAGCTGTGATCTGCAAAGCTCTTTCTGTTGTAGATCATCTTTGCGGACGAGTGCACCGAGGCGGAGGGCCAACACTGGCACATGAAGCACTTCTGCTGCTACGAGTGCGAGGCTCCACTCGGCGGCCAGCGCTACATCATGCGTGAGGGTCACCCGCACTGCTGCAACTGCTTCGAGAACCTGTACGCCGAGTACTGCGACTCTTGCGGAGAGCACATCGGTGAGGAAAGACCTTCAGCATTTACCCTATTTAGAAAATCCCATCAGCTTCTCTCTATTAAATTTGCATGTGATATCTTTTTCTCATGGATCATGTGAACAAACAGAACAGGTTTGGAAACGGGATTGCATGGGCTTCACGTGAAACCAGGTTTTACTCTCGATTTTACTGCATGATGCCTTCAGAAAAACAACACGAGCATCTTTATGTTTAACGCCTCAGATTTACTGCTAAACCAAAATAAAAGGCCAAGTGCAAGTGTGTTTCTTCTCTAACAATAATTTCAATGGGGAGATTTAACAGGTAAACTAGTCAGAATCTAGGCGTCTCCATTTATATTTCATATTTTAATAAGGGACGCATGCTATTATTCAGTCATTCATTCATTTTGTTTTTGGGTTAGTTCCTTTATTAATCAGGGGTCGCCACAGTGGAATGGACCAGCAACTTATCCAGCATATGTTTTTACACAGCGGATGCCCTTCTAGCTGCCACCCATTACTGGGAAATACCCATACACACTCATTCTCACACACACACACACACACACACACACACACACACACACACACACACACACACACACACACACACACACACTCATACACTATGGCCATTGTAGTTGATCAGTTCTCATATAGTGCATGTGTTTGGACTGTGGGGGAAACCGGAGCACCCGGAGGAAACCCACACCAACACGGGGAGAACATGCAAACTCCACACAGAAACACCAACTGACCCAGCCGAGACTCGAACCAGCGACCTTTCTGCTGTGATGCGATCATGCTACCCACTGCTCCACCGTGACTCCTACATCTTATTAGGGTTTTAAGTTTTTAAAGTGCTAGCACTAAAATTAAAATTAATAAAATATATATATAAATTATATTTTAGAAACGGGTACAGTTGCCACTAGAATTTTCTTTAAATGATTTGAATGAATTTTATTCAGGACATTTTAAACCGTAATCAACTGACTGGCATAAATGATCAACACTAATATCTCCCAGTGTTAGGTTCTGATGGTTTGATGAGTTCTTTTTAAATGTCTGAGTAAAAAACAACAGTTTCAGTCTGATGTAAAATACTCCACTGTGCTGTTCAGCTCTACAGCATGCGCGGATGTTGGTGCATCAGTGATTTGATTCTCAGGTTTGCTGAGATGTGGGCTGGCCAGTAGCTTCTGATGTGGATGGTCTTTGTCTTCAACAGCACATAAAAACACACCTCAGGAACAGCAGACCAGAAAATGTAAAAACTGTGACTTTGCACACCGCAGTAAACCTTGAAACAATTTATCATCCCATGTCTAGTGTGTTTTGAAGGCTGCACTTTTTGCCGATGTGCTCGCAGTTGAAAAAAGTGAACAGCGCAAAAAGCGCCTCAGCATGTCAGTCGCGTCTGTCTTATTCTCCAATCAAATGAAAGCAGAGGCGGGGTTTCCATCTAAGGTGCCTGCAGTGTTTGTGTTGTCAAGACAACTACGGAGACTTTTGAAGATGGACTTGTGGTTTCTGTTTTGAGTTATCCGGTGCTGTTTGACTCGCATATCTTGAATATCACAATATTATTAACTATTAAAATTCTATTGATATCAACAGGAACACACATTACGCAGCTGATTCAGTCATTGCCTTGTAACATAAAAAGTGCACCACTCTACTTTTTTCTTGTCAACAATAAACGCAGTGTCGTGCGCCTCGCGTTCTTAGACTGGAAAAGCACGTTCAGTGTGATCGGCCCCTCAGGCTGCTACAGGCCTTTTCAGATAGGACCTGAAGTCACTGCTAGACACAAGTAGACCTGTGGTTTTTAAGTCTGACTGAAAGAAACCATGTTTGAGTTGAACATTTTTACAGTGCTTCTCAGCCTAAATTGAAAAGCCTAAATTAGATTGTCTTCTTCATTAACATATTTATATATGATTGCTTTTGATGGCTGAAATGGTGGCAGTCGTGGTACATTAAATGCATCTGCAGCAAAAGTGAGGATTGTGGAGGTCATGTTTGCTCTGTGCAGCCTCATCTTGCTGATGTTCAGGAAACACAGCAGGCTGTAAGTTTGTTTAATTCCACTTTTCACTGTAATCTTTCTGTCATTGTTTAGAATTGATGATACTCTTGACCCTTCTGTGTAGATACAAAATAATTTTGACCAGTTATGGGATTTTATCACAGTATAAAATGTTCTTATGCCTCTGTAGATGGAAAACTCACTTTATTATTATTATAGTTATAATATGCACAATCACTCTTTTTTACGTTTAATATTTTGTGCTGAACTAAAAGTGCAGGAACTCAAAGGTTTGAAGCAGCATTGAATAGATTTTTATGACTTTCTAAAATTTCTGTCACCACAAAACAAGCCAGAATAAACAGCTGAACAATGTATTTTTAGTACTTTATATTTTTGTAGTCCAACAGACACTGAACAATACACATTACTGCTCTGTCCAAGAATAAAGATGAGTGTACCCCAATAGCAAGATCTATACTATACATTTAATTTATCAAGATTTATTTCTGACATACAGTGCAGAAAAAAAACCCCCAAATATCTTTGTTGAACTTTATATGATGTCTGCCATGTGTTTCAGGTATAGACCAAGGTCAGATGACATATGAGGGTCAACACTGGCATGCCACTGAAGATTGCTTCAGCTGTGCCCGCTGCAGTCAGTCTTTACTGGGTCGTCCCTTCTTGCCGAAACAAGGATTGATCTACTGTTCACGTCTCTGCAGCCAAGGGGATGAGGCCGAGCTGTCAGACTCCTCAGACTCTGCTTTCCAGAGTGCCCGCTCCCGACAGTCGCACCACAGTGCCTCAGTTGGCAAGGACGGGTCAAAAGGAAAGGGTGAAACTGTACGACAGACCTCCTCTGGCCCTACAACACTGTCTGGTGATGCAGAGCCTCTGGCAGTACAGATGGACTTGCTGAGCGTGGCCAGCCCAGCGCCCAGCCGCACACCCCACCGCACGCCAACCCGAACCCCCAGCAGGACCTCTAGTCGGTCTCCAAGCCTGAACCGCGAGCAGACAGTTTGGGTAAACAGGGACGAACCTTACTCCTATGAGTCTCAAAGAGATTCTTCTACATCACCAAATCCCCATCAGCTACGAAGCCAATGTAGCATCCGTACCGCATACCCTCCTTCTCCCAATCAGCCCCCGAAGATAGTGAGCAGTCAGGAAGCGTGGTCCAAAGAGCCGCCTGGAGGAAACTCCAAGAAGCCTCCAGTCATGGCCGCACTGAGGGGACACTCTTTCAATGAGAACTGGATGCATCATGGCCAGGAACCAGAGTTTCACCCTCCAAAGCTCAAAACACAAATGAGCTTCAATGAGGTTTCGAGCCGTAATTCTGGATTTTTGGACAAGCGCAGTATCAGTGTGCAGGGTTTCCCTCGAGAGATGCGTCCTCCATTGCTACGAAGCAGGCACCAATTTAGGCCGAACTTTGGAGAACTTACGCCACTCGAACAAACACCACGAGGTTCTGCTGACTCCCTGGCCCTTTCCTACACTACAGGTGAGCACACATTCAGCTAGATTCAGGCTTTAACACATGACAGCTGTGTTCATACTGTCATACATGTTATATTGTGTAACAACTACTGATCTCTGCTCATTGTTTGTCTTAAGCAGGAAACTCTTTAGATGGGACCAGCAGGCGTCAGGAGCACTTCTCTCGATTTTCTATGCCTGACCTGAGTAAAGACTCTGGAGTAAATGTTTCTGAAAAAGGCACCGTGGGCACTTTAAACTCCTCAGTGCAGTTCCGCAGTACTGAATCTCTGAGCTCTGTCCCCAGACCCCTCGCTGATATTGGCATGCCCGTTCGACTAAGGTACCCTCCTCCTCTATACTGGGATTCGCCCCGAGGTCTGAGTTTCGAGGACCCAGTCAAAGGTCGCATTGGTCTCGCAGGAAGCATGTCTTGTATGCAGGATGGGAATGCCCAAGCAATGACACCACGGCCAAGACGTGCTCAAGCACAGAACTCCCCCCGACAGCAGCGGCAGCGGCAACGGCATCACCGCAAAAACCACAAAAGTCAGAAATATCAGTACCGCTCCCGCCGCTCTCGCTCAGATAATGCCCTGCATTTAGCTACTGAAGATCAGAGTTTTCCTGGAGACCCCATTCATAGATTTCACAATGACTTCGAGCGACCGTCCTCATCAAGACTCTCGCACAACCTCTTTGGAGCTAATTATGGCTATCGGCAGCAGTTCTTCAGGCCATGCCCTCGAACCACCTCTGACCTCACTTTGCAGGATCCCGGAGGTCCACAGATTGGACAGTACATGGGTAGGTATGGAGAAGCTGTTGAAGATGAAGATCAGTTCTGCTCCACCTGTTCCTCCTCTTCAGAGGCATCAGATGATGACGCTTATCTCCCGGGCGAAGGCATTCCCCGGCCAGTGCAGCTGCGATACTTCGACAACGAGGAGTTGCGACATCGTTATAGTCCTACGCTAGTGGGAGGTCACACACAGCTACATACTCGCAAACGGCGGAAGAGCAAGAACTGCATTATATCATAAGCGGAGGGTAATGTGAGCATCTGAGTGTGTGCAGGAGAGATCGGCAGGAGTGAGTACATTCATGTACCTTATCATTCGGTGTAACATCATAAAAGATTCAGCTTGCTGTAATTACGTTATCTCTTAATATGAGCAAAAATAGATTTGCTCTTGTGTTAAATTAAAAGTAAATACCTTAAAGTTACTATAATAAATGTCCAGACTCAAGAGTAGGAACTCAGTGTGAGTACACGTTCATTTCTAAGGTTCATATTCTCCATATGTTGATGGACACCTTCATTTTTGATGGCAAACACAGATAAAAGTGCTTTGCTGAATGAAGGATACGAGTCTTACTGTACATATGTCTTGCCATTTTTCTTTTTTCGTGTTGCTGTGTCTTTCCCTTTTATAAAGGCCCAAAGGATACTAATTATATTTATTATATTTCGCATTGCCAGCATAATTTAGCTTCATTTATAATTATATACAAATTTAGTATTTTTTAATGATGATTTGATGGTGTGCTCTGGATCTTTCTCATGTCTTTATGTCTCATGTTTTCCAAGCATCTGAGATTCGGAATCAACATGTCTGCCAGTATTTTGGTACATCCACAGGCACTCATCTGTAATTGTCAAATCCCCAACCTTTTATACTCTCATGCAGTCCAATATTATTACACTTCCAGTGTCCCATTCACACCATCCACAGGTTCTCACGCTGGACTCTGAACTAAATTAATTTGATCTCAAATGATCATAGATTATAGCCGTGCTCCCAGTGATCTTTAGCTAAATTTAATCTCTCAGCTTTTGTTCCAAAGAGGTCTGTGGACACCGTTAATAGAAGTTGGTTTGAACAATGCCTTTCCCACTGTCTGAACCTCAGAGAAACTCTGATTTCCATTCCTATTCTGTTCCACCTCTGCAGCGTGTGCCTTTCTGCTTTTCAGAACTGGTAATGGTGGCGCAGGACTGTGCTGTACTCATGCCTTGATCATGGGCCTCATGTTTGTTTGATGGGGTCAGGAGTGGCAGTATTGCAGATGTTTTATGGCCTGTATTCGGCTTATTAAAAGGATTGAAAGGGAAAATACTGTACATATCAACTTAGGAGAAATACTATTATCAAAAAGGTGAAGAAACCTTTATTCGCTCAACAGGGAAGAGATATTGGGCAGGGATGTACTCACTTCTGTTTTCTGCTGTTTGTATGTTTCTCAATTATCCAACTCTTGTTGACATCCTACTCGGGCATGTTTCAGTCATTACTTACGTTATAGATCACGTGTTCTGACCTGAAATCATGATTACTGTGACTGAACATTGCACAACGATCAAAGGTATTAGCTTATATTTATTTTAAAAGTATACTAAATCTTCTCTATTGCTCAGAATATAACTTCTGTTTTGTAGAAACTTGTGCAATAACAATCGCGATACAGCTTCATTTCTGGACTATAGGTAAGAAGTGAAGACTTAGTGTGCACTTAACTTTCAGAATTAAGATATGGATTTGACCATACTCTGAAATATCTTAAAACCATTGAGTTCTTCTGTGTTGCTTTTGAAAAGAATTTTGGATTATTGTTCTGCATAAACCCTAACAGTGTATCAAAACTCTATTTGCAACCATCGTCATACCCGTTTATACATTTTAATTAACTCATTTATTTATTTATTTTGGTTTTGTATACTTCTAGTCAAGGCTTCAATCCCACTTTCCCCCTTACTTTTTGGAATATTTTTGTGGCAATACGGTTTACTATAATCCCCATGCTGCTTACTGTTGGTTGTTCTGAATAGTTTCCTAATATGTGCTCTTCATAGTTTCAACTTGTCATTTTAAAATTAAACTTCTTAAAATGTTTATCATTTTGCTGGGCAATGTTGGTTTAAATGCAATATTCTGTCTTTTCCAAAGTCATTCAAATACCATTTACAAATAATCTCTAGAAATAAATGTTTTCCTAATGTCAAAAAATGAGATATAAAAATGATGTAGTATTGTAAAAGTTCTGTAAATATTGTCTTAAATATTTCTATATTTTGTATCTCCAGATGCATTATTTGTATCATATTGTAGAGTGTAGAAACCTGCGGTGACTGCATGTGTATCAGCCATTCATGTCTTGTATCTGAATTAAATTACTATTTGAACAAAGAAACAAAGCTTTTCAGTTTCGGATTAATACATGAACAAGTATGTCATGTTCTGGAAATATAAAGCTAATTCAGTTTAGATCTAAATGTTTTCTTAATGTGGTTTGTGGGAATTTTTCAGTCTTCTGAAAGAAATCATCAAAATCCTGCAGGTTTGTGGAAGACGATGTTTTTAATTAATAATGCAAGCAGATAGAAACAACTCTTTTATCAGGACATTAAAATGCCAGCATCTCGACAACGAGCTTTGAAGTGCACTAAACAAATTTTGCCAAACAATGTTGATATTCGAGAGCACAAAAACCAACCCAACCAACCTAGCTCTTTTGATATTGCTGCTATTATTAACAGACATGCTAAAATGTGGTTAAAACATACTTCAAAATTGCTTAGAGCACCATTGATACTGAAGTAACATTTCACATTATAAAGTGTTTAAGCTTACTTTATCATTTTGACCAATGTTTTAAACTTGTTTCTCTACAAGCTACAGGTCTCAGTTTGCTAATAATATATAGCTAGAAAACATAAAATGCAAACATGTCCGTTACATTTATACTTGAATATATCTTGACTATGGGATTAATGGGGCAATTATTCTAAAAGCCGACTTGTACAGACAAATGAAAACCTTTAAATACAAAAATGTGACGAATTTTATTGACAGCCAAAGCAGCACTTCAGACCCTTTTCAGAAACACTGATATCGTTACAGGTGTGAAAACCTTTAAGCTGACTGTACAGTACTAATGTGAATGTGGGCTCAGTTTTCAGCTGATGGAGGGTCGTCTGGAGGTTGACGCAGCACCTCGCTCTCTGGAATCATACTCCTGGATGAACTGCTCCATGGCCTGGATGCAGCGAGTGCCGATGTCCCGCAGGTTTTCACGCAGAGACAGCTGGATTGGCTTCTCCAATGATGGATCCTTTTCTACCAACATCTTCACGACCATGCCAAATGTATCACAGTCCTGCCGATAGACCTGTGGATTACACAAACCACAACTCAAAATTAATACACAACAAACAATATAATGATTAACAATAACTCCGTAGAAATGTTGTGAATATAAACCTGTTACCACAGAAAAACTCTGCACCGCACTTTAGCAAATCGTATTGTAAAACATAGCATGTTTAAAACTGTAGTGCAATTCTCTGAATTTTATTTTAAGAGAACACTGACAGTGAACATCGAGGAAAGCATTTAAAGCATCGCAAACTTAATGAAATCATAGATCATTTTAGTATAGCCTCTTTCAGTTCTGTGGTTAGACACATCAGTGTGTCTATACAGTAATGCCAGCTCTGCGTCACGAGTGGTTTGGAACATTCTGATGACATTAACAGACTACAACCACTGTACCATAGTGAGACCTGTTTACATCTTCTACCTTCAGTTTCCACCATCCCTGCATCGTTTGCACCAGACACATTCGGCTTGATCCAAACCCTCTCAGCTCCTTCTGTTCTTCAGGTACAGCTGTGCTCTCACATCATCAACACCTCCCCTCACAGCGGTAAACAGGCTCAGGTTTACCTGCTGCTTAAGAAATACAGTCTAAATCAAGCACTTTCACAGAACAGCAGACCAGTATTCCTTCTTCCATTCACAGCAAATAACTGGAGTTAAACCAACTCTTAAAACCAATACAGCTTGAGAATCAAGTAAACCTTCAGATTCTCCTGTAAACCTCCTGAACCAGTAAACCTCCAGACCTTACTGTAAACCTCCAAAACTGGCTAACCTCCAGATCTTCCAGCCTGATCTAATGAGAAATCGTATTTTACATTTTGTCAGTTTATTGGCTAATTCGTACGAATTCATACAAGTTTAGTCGAATCTACGATTTTAAAAAGGAGGCATGGCCCCCAACCCAACCCCGCCCCTAAACCTAACCGTCATTGGGTGATGAGCATTTGTAAAAATTAGCCACAAATCAAAAACTTGCCGTGAGATTGTGTTGGATCTACCAGTAAATTTCCAGATCTTCCTGTAAACCTCCAGGTCCTCCTGAACCGGTTAACCTCCTATCCTCCTGTCATGAAGGCCTCCACATCTGCACCTCAGTGCTCCAGCTGTTGGAGAGATGGAGTTTCCTGCTCAACATCTCACTGCTGGGATGCCTCAGGGCTTAATTCTCTCACCACTTTTCTTCTCAATCTACAAGTGATCATGGCTATAGAAAAATAGTAATAGAAAATGGCTTCCCTATTACTCGTATGCTGATAATGCTTATCTGCACCTCATTCCAGACAAATGAGCCAACGTTGCAGCCAGTCTTACAGATTTATACATCTGGATGAAAGAAAGACCTGAACATCTCTGTCCTAACCCTAACCCTAACCCGAACCCTAGGGTTCTGCTGGGGAATCTCTGGCTCTGTCAGGGTCTGTACACATTTTCAAGACCTCTAGTATTGACTAGACTAGTATTGACTAGCGCTGAATCAAAACACTGAATTGAGCTTGAGCTTTACTTTTATTTCAAAAAGAAAAAGAAAGACTTTTCTGTGTGTACATGCGGGTCTTGATGGTTAATAATAAGTGTGTCTGGCTATGACTGCAGTGAGGAGCTTGCGATTGCTAGTGTAACGTGATCCATGCGTTGGGTTTAATCTTCTCCTAATAAAGGAATAAGGGCTCTCTGTGCCGATTTCTCTCTGTAAGATTATGAGAAAACTGCACCTGGAGAGCGGAGACGGAACTGCAGCATTTGCCTGAGCAAATCTTAAAGGCTTTCTAAAATGTTTTTGTGATTTACATGAGGTTTGCCTCACCAAACGTTTGATCTGCATTACATAACAGCATTACACACAATGTTACATAAAGCAACAAATGCTAATGAATCTCTGACTTTAATAATGCTAATCGAAATATAAATCTTTATTCAACATTTATTATTTATGCGAGGATAAGCAGGCATGAAGGATTAAATCTTTACTGCGGTGTGTCTTGTAGTAACTGTAGGTAACTGTGTGTGCTGAGCTGCTATTACCAGATCTCTTCAAAATAGCACCTACTGCCTCATCCGCGGTTACCATAGAGATAGAGCGCCTGTGTGTGTGTGTGTGTGTGTGTGTGTGTGTGCGCCGGGGGGTTAAATTATCATTCCGCATGTATCTGAGTCATCGCATCATGAGCTCTGCTGTGCAATTTCTTGAAAATAGACTGAATGGCCATGATTGCAATGAAAACACTTTGTCTAATAGACCCAGACTTAACTTGCACACCTTGTGTAACTCAGTGAAGATGCAGACCTAACAACAGGTCAGAAAATACAGATATGTTCACGAAAGACCTACTGTTGGTGTGTGTGTGTGTGTGTGTGTGTGTGTGTGTGTGTGTGTGTGTGTGTGTGTGTGTGTGTGTGTGTGTGTGTGTGTGTGTGTGTGTGTGTGTGTGTGTGTGTGTGCGCGCGGGTTTACGCACAGACACTGGTTTTTCCTCCTGAGCTGCTTCTCTAGACTCTGTAAGCCGAACTGATGCTCAACACATTATTATAATAATTACGGTTCCGCTTCAGATCCACCCCAGAGTTTGTGTTTCTCACTCACACCCCCGGCTCCTCTAAGCAGCAAACCAGCGCTCGGATTTGCCGTCTCTGCATTGTGTCGAGACAAATTTACATTTTAGTGTTTGGTTCATCAGCAGAACCTCCTCATGACAGAGTCTGCTTTTGCCTGTTTCATGCTGATTATTAAACTTGTCTTTGGTCACAGAATGGACAAGCAGACTATCAGAGAGAGCAGAAATGCACAGAATCATACATTAACGCTATCCCAGTTTCTGCATTTAACTATTGAAGAATAGTGTTGAGCTGGAGAAGACCTGTAGAAAAGCTAACTGTTATTGTCATACTGGACGGATTAAGATGACAGAGCGACATGAGTTCTTTAAGCCCTGTTAATACTTGGCTTTTCCTGGCTAGTTGTTTTCGTGGCTCACACTGAGCAGAACAGTAGAGAAAAGCTGAACTAATGGCACCGTGCTCCAAATGAGGCGTTAAACTCACAGCAAACACTCCACAAACAGTGTCTGTACTGTAACGGTACTGTGACTTTAACATCTTCACACTAATATAACCTGAAGGTTAAATGTCTACAGGGTTTGCTCTATAAATATACAGCTTTTAAAGTTTATAGGACAAAAGAACAGTCTTTACGTTAATCCTTACACAATGCTGACCTTTATTTATATAGCAAAGTGTACAATACAGAGCTTATTAGACTATACTAATGTGTCCTTTACCTTTAAATGTCTCTGAAAACATCCAGATTTTAATCTAATTCAGCACATGTATTGTAAATGGTCTACAGGTACTGGGTGACTGAAAGGGTAAAAATATATAAACTGGAAACCAGAAGGCCTCAACAAAACATGTTAGCCAGCTAGTGGTAAGAAATGAGCTACAACGTGTTCAATTCAGCTCGCTTTAAGGGGAACAGTTCTGACATTTTCACTCCTCACCATCTGAAAACCTTTTAAACTCCAGACAAATCCGCTATCACGATACACACGTCTGAATGTGCACACACTGTTTACTGCACGCTTGAATCATCGTCAGGAGATATTGTGAAATGTGATATTCACCTCATCACATCTTCAACACAATGAAACAAATAAACTAGGCAGAAAATGAGCACTAGGTGGAACACACACACACACACACACACACACACACACACACAGACAGACAGACACACACACACACACACACACACACACACACACACACACACACACACACACACACACACACACACACACACACACACACACACACACACACACACACACACACACACACACACACACACACAGACAGACACACACGCACACACACACACACACACATTACCTCCTCAATCTGCTCTTGTTTCTTCTTGATGGCTCTTTTTCGGGTCACAGATGAGGCAGATTCTCTCTTGGCCTTTCGTAAGACCTGCAGGACTCACAGCGAGGGACTCGATCAGCTTCAGCTTTCAGGATTATGCTCATTAGAAACCCTAACCACAGCTAACCATCATCAACCAACGTGTGTGCTCTAAAGATCTTTAAAGTGTAGTGAACTTTAAGACAATCTGCAGCTCTGAAGACAGACAGCAGGGAAATCTGAGGTCAAAGGTCAATTTTACATTGATCAGGTGTAAAACCCCAGAGCTGAGCGA